TCCTTCATTTCACCGAGATGTTAATTCGGCAGTCGATATTTAATAGTTTATGTTTATCATCATTATGGGAATCGCCATCATGTTGGAAGCAAAGGGACTTTCTAAATTTCTCTGGGCATCAGGAAATACATCTGTATAGAAAGGGAACAGCCCAGTACATGCTCATGTGCAAGGGTAAACACCAGATTACTTGCAATGAAAAGCATCAGGACCTAGTGCAATGCCCAACACGCAAACCACAAATGGGCCTAAACAGAGCTGGATATGCCAAAACAGAAAGCCACACTGGATGCATTGTGCAGCAGCTGACAGGAACACCGTCATCCCAGGATCCGAGTGCGCTGTGCTCGGAGCAGCCAGCAAGGAGACGACTCGGGAGTATCTCACATGGATGGGTGTCAAATAAAACTTTTCCAGCACTTAACCACACACTTCTCTCCGGTTCCTCAGTAGTTTAATTCCCAGGCACTTTTGCATTCATAGTAAATCTGAGAGCGCAAAACGAAGCATGTGCCTCCATGGCCCATCGGCAGAGCCCCTTCCAGCAGAGTGAGAGCAGGTGGGGACCCCCTTCTTCCAGAGGCGCCTGAACCTGAGAGATGTTTTGCTGCTCTTCCATCTGCTGCTGGAGGTAGGACAACCTCCCTGAATAATACACAGCTAGAAGACACAGAGCTTTATGATTGTCCCAATATTTTCCTATAAACACCCGTGTATTCTATTTCATGTAAGTGTCCACAGACCCTTGCACTGCGAAGGCAATCACTTTTTGGCACGTGCCTTTTTCGGACGTGTTCAAACTACATTTAACAAGGGAGAGTTCTGAGTCCTCCTGACACACTGGGTGTCGGGGGGGGGGACCCAGGTAGGAGGGATCAGTGGAGTCCACGGACTGACATTTCTCCAAGAGGAGAATAAACCAGTGGGAAAAAAAACACAGAGAGGGGAAGAAAAATGGTCAAGCTATTATTGAAATTTACAGCGGTTAATTTTGAAAAGAAGTAATATGCCCACGTGAGCCACAGAGCTCCTGCACACACACAGATGCACGGGGCTATGTGCAGTAGACTGAACAGCATGGGAACCTTCAGAAAAAAATTGGCTGTGTAGCAACCTTGCTGAAGATAGGACTTCTGCTTTCTTTCCCCCACCCTGCACACCACAAACATGGCCCAGCAGAAATGTTTTCAAGCACAAACATGCACAGAAGAACTTAGTGCTCTGCCTTGCTATTCCCAACCCCCATACATTTATGCTCATGTAATTACTGCTCTCTGTTTGCCTACTGATAACAAGTTAAAAATACCACACACACCCAAAATTAGAACAATTTTCTATTTTCTGCCAAATCCCTGCAGTTGATATAGAACAAAATGTTGTGATGAGCCACATGGGATCTCTTGCCTGCACTGATCAGGACAGGAGACTGCAAAAAAAAACCCACCAAAAGTGTGGCATGCACAGACCAAGACGGATTTGACTGTGTTATGAAGCCATCGATCCTGTATTCCCTTTGCTCGCTTCATCTGTTGATTGGTGTTTCT